CAAGGATCTCAGGCTGTGGGGCTGTAAAACTGCAGTGTAGATGTTCAGGCTCAGGCTGGATCCCAGGCTCTGGGACACTCCCAATCACAGGGTCCAGAGTTAGGATTTCAGCCCAAGCCTGAATGTCTACCCGGAAATGTTACAGTCCCCCTCCCGCAGCCAGAGCCCCATGAGCCCAAGCCAGCTGACCCAGGCCTTCTGCAGATGTTTAATTGCTGTGTGGACATACCCTGAAAGATCAAGCCCTTAGTGCCTTCAGTGCTTACAGAAGAGGAGTTTCTTAATGTCAGAGAGGGATAGTTGCCCTTTGGGATGAAGAAGCTGAAACAACCAGGTGGAGACTCTGATGTGCAGGCGTGTGTCTGTGTCTCCCTCTTTCTCTCCAGATCCTACATATGACTCATCACTAAATGGAAATTAGATATGACAAGCCCTTGAGAAACCTATACTCACAGGACATGAATATATTGCTAAGGAGGAACCACGCAGTTAGTATACACAAACAAAGCAAAACAAACCCCATTTTAGTTCAAACAAATCTGATCTATACATAATTGACCACTGTTCCTATTTTAAACATAGGGGCTCCTAGTACTGACAATTTCCTTTTAGAATAAAATAGTTCTGATGCATCTTCATGGCAACATCTATTTCCAGTGATTTTAATAAATAAATAGTAGCACAAAACTGGTAGTAGATTTTCCTGCAATTCCTTGACCACAAGCATGGAGCAAAAATCTGCATAAGAGAAGCTATTAAGAGAAATAAATTCTCTGGGGAAAAAATATGGTAAAAATCAAAAGTAAAAAGCTCCAAAAGATGCATTCTTTATATTTGTTTAGTTCATGCAGCCACCAAATTCATTTTTCAAGCTGGCCAGCCTCGAACAAGTTAGCCAAAGAGGTGTAAATCAGTGTGGCTTCATAAGTTAGTGGAGCTAAGCTGATTAACACTAGATGTGAATCTAACCCAGATATCATTAAACTGTCCCGATTCAGCCTTAGGCCTGCATATCCAAAGGATTGATTGGATTACAGCTTTCAAACTGAAAGCTATAACAACATTTATTTAGACAGCAATTATATTGTTGCCTCTTCTGACACAGTATCATCTGTCTGTCAAGCAGATGTCCATGGTCATGCAAATCAGTTTCTCCATGGAAGAGAAATCAGTGACATGGAGTGTAGGTGTATTATAAATGTAATCTGTTTTCCCGTGCTTCTGGAAATAGGGGTGATCAAACAGCAGGCAGGGCAATCCCATCCTCCAGGAACCTCAGCTGAACACCAATGTTGGGTTCCCAGGAAGCATCTCTGCCCTAAGAACTGACTAAGCAGGAAGAGAGCAAACTATCCTGTTGCTGGCACAGCTCCCTCTCCAAAGAACCTGCCTCCGCTAGAAACGTGAATAATCCAAAAACTACCACCACTATAGCATGTCTTCCCAAAGCTGAACATTTGCTCACACACTAAGGAGTATGTGGAATAACACCACCTCATGATGCCTACAGTACCAAGACTGTTTATATAGTAACATAGATGTGCATGGTGCCTTGCAGACAAAAATAAAGACAATAGGGCCAATTATCTATGGTCCTAAGGTCCTTTTCATGGTGCTTTGGTGGCACAAGGAAGCTGTAAAGGCCCTGGATAGCCTAACTCCCAATGGGAATACCTCTGGTGTGAGGGCTCCCCAACTAGCACAGATTGGGTGGAATGGTTCCACATCAGCCTTCTTCACAATCCCTAGCTTATGGGACATACTGAGGAAGTTCCAAGGGCAGGGAAAGGGAAGGGCACAGGTCCAAATTGCCACTGAACACTGGCTATTCTCATCTTCCTATGACTCCGAGGGGTTTAGGGATAGCTGAATCATAAAGTAGGGCAGCTCTAAGCCCCAGCCATGCTGGGGGTGGTAAAGCTTACTGTGACAGGCTTGGGCCCTTTGGGGTGTCACCGGAGGTGCTGGGATACCACTGAGTCAGCCTATTGTGCCAGCCTGGGTCCCCTTTACCTGTCCTTGCTGGGCTAAGCTCACAAGCTTCTTCCGGCCGAGCACAGAGGCAGGGCCACACCCAGCTGTACAGAGATCAAGAGATTCACTCTGGAAAGATTCAGCCTTAGGGGCTTGCCCCAACACTCTGGTGCCCACTCCCTTTAAGGGGTACAAACCTAAAGGTTTTATGAAATTTGTCCCCTCCCTCAATGTGGAGGGAGATATGCACAACTTCTTGCCCTCCCCAGTTAGAAATTACATAAACTGGGTTATATTATAAACAAGAAATAAGTTTATTAACTACAAAAGGTGAATTTTAAGTGAATATAAGAGATATCAGACAGAACAAAGCAGATTACTGACCAAATAAAGCAA